GGCATCAGTCTCTTCAGCACAGGTGCCTTAGTCATAGGAAAGTGGGAGCGAAGCCCAAAGCAGGCCATGAGAAAGGGACTGCCATGTAGGATCTCACTTGCCCTGTACCGCCAGCCCAGAGACTTCAGAAAAAGCAGTTGCACTCTTGACAGACGTAACCTTCTCCAGCACTGAATAGATGCAGGCTGGGTACCTTGTCTCCAGCGTTTGAATGCCCAGAAGGAAATAAGCTGTCTTCCAATTTTTTTCCCAAGCCTTTTCAGTCCTGCTGGGCTCAGGTATTGCTTCACATCACCTTTCTCAGAGGTTTTGTTTGACTTTTCTTTCAGGAATTTTCGGAAGCATCTCCGCATGGTGGGGAGCCGAAGGGTTAAAGCACAAAGTAAGTGAGAAACTGCAAAATGTGGCTGTGAGAAGTTGGGTTTTGTGCCAGTGAGACACAGGGAGCCCCATGTTGTGCACAGACATGGGTAGAAAGGACCCAGCAGAGGACCCAAGAAAAGATTCGCCCCATTGATGCTGTTGTTGCAAGTCTCCAAGGCACACAAATTTCTACAAGCAGCCTTTAAGCTATTTCCAAGGAACTTCTGCCATGGCTATAGGCGATCTCTGTGGTCTCAGTCCGAGGTATGGGAGGAGAACTGCTCACCGTCATGCTTGTCCTGCGCGCACGTGGCTTTGGTGATCATTGACGTAGAAGCTTGTGAGGAGGACCAGAGCTGAGAGGTTAGCAGAGCAAGCGAGGGCTGCCTGGCCTTTTACGGAAGTGGAGGTCCCACCGTGGCTCCCCGAGGACAGCCAGTGCTTCGTGTGTTATATGGATTGGGGGGGGGGAGGCTTTCTCTTCTCTTCTCCTGTCCCAGCACCATCTCTTCTCCACAGCAGGACCTGGGGGAAAGTTGCCCAGGGAGATGAGAGGAAGGTGGAAGAGAAAGAAGAGGAACATCAGAGAGAACAGATCGGAGAAAGGGGGGAAATAAGGGTGTGCTATGCCTCACTGGAGGAAAAAGTCAGCTCTTGGCCCTGGGAAATGGCAGTTCGGTTTCCCTGAGGAAGACAGCACTCCTCCAGAGCTTGCTTGGGGCAGCTCCCTTGTTGCTGTAACCTGCCCAGGCCTGAGAGCTCATGAGTAATGAGAATTATTCCAGAAGAGGAAACGGCTTGTTCTTCCCTTCCTGGCCAGCCGTCATGCAAGGACTGCCCGGAGCAAAGTGTTGCCGAACTGGATTTGCATTCTTTCGTTTCCTTTCTCATATGCTTTAGGAAGTTGATAGTAAACAGCATTGTCCTTTAAAGTGTCTTTATTGGCATCTGAGTTAGCACTGCCTGAAGCGAACAGGGCCCACCTCTCCCAGAGCTGTCTGAAAGTTCAGGCATGTCTCTCTGCCTTGGTAACTCTCGGGTCATGTTTTCAAAGCATTCTTCATGTGCCTAATGGCTAAATGCCTGGTTTTAAATGAAAGCTGAGGATGGAGAACACCTGAAGAGCTTCCTGTGTGATTTGTCTCCCTGGAGAGTACAGCCACACTTGGACACACTGCAGCAGAGGACAGATTGCCTTTCAGCTCTTGTAACACAGATCTGCAGTGTTTTCTTGTGCTGCTGACATGCCATGCCATTACTAGATAAACTACAGCAAGCTTGGCCTGCCTGCTACCAGAAATAGGTATTAGTGGCTATAAGTTGCTGTTGATCGAACGGCTTTCATGCAGACTTGCCTAGTCAGACATCGTGGTTGGCAGTTCTCAGGAATTTGTCAATGGGGCAGCCAGCTGGGCGAGAGCTCCCTGGATTTTGCTTGGGAAAAGCCATTTCCAAAAATACAACATCTCTGGGGGGAAGAAAAGGGCGAGAAAAATTGCTCACAATATTTCTGGCAAGCAAAAACTGAAGGAATTCTTCTTTTGCAACAAAATTTAGGAAATGTGAGCTTTCCAAAGGCCTTTCTGTTCAGTCCAGCTCTGACTGGCGTATCACTAAAATGCGAAAAGCATGCCCGAAAACAGATGTGAAGGGAGAACTGACTGGACAACTACTGCCTTTTTCTGGTCACATAGGTCATTAGGTATGGAATACATCTTCCTGTGAGGCCTTTGAGTCAGAGCATTTACGCTGAGACACTGGAATAGGCCTGATTAAATTGAGGTTTGAGCAGTATGCGCTTACGGAGAGACCACCAAGCGTCCTCCTTTTTCTGTTACTTGCTCCACAATGGCCCTGCTCGGAAGGTGGGCGCTGTGTGTGCTGCTATTTGGAAGGTAGACCCTTGTTTTGCTGTTTGCAAAGGACTCGTATTTGGCAAGTGGAAGAACAAGTACAGGGGAATTCGTGATGTTTAGCTTTGGTGGAAATCTACTGGATGTTTTGTTTTGCTGGCAGCAACGAGGTGGCTTTGGAGTCTGTTAATGTCATGCTTTGGTTTTATCCTAGCATTTGCCGAACGGCGTGAGAGGAGCTTCAGCAGGTCCTGGAGTGACCCGACTCCCATCAAAGCTGATTCCTTCCATGACTCTCGAGAAAGTGAGTTCTGAGTCCTCTGAGCTTCCTCCTGTGGCCAAACCCTCCAGCTGAGGCGTTGACTGGAGTCCCACTGGAGAAGCTTCTCTGTGTCCTTTTTCCCCACCTGTGATCCTTTAGTTTTACGGAGATCTGAGCAAATAAGACTCCAGGTATATGCACATGTTCATCTGTGTGTACCTGTATTTACATATAGATGCACATGTGCTCTAACCTCATGTACAGTTGCCAAAGGACACCCAGTGGCACAGCTCTCTTATGGCCATCTGTTCCCATCATACCTTATTTGCTTGGGATCAAACACCTCATCTGCAGATGCTGACACACACCAGTCTAGGCTAATGTTCACCGTAGTGGGGCTAACCTGCCCAGCTTCCTAGGCAAGAGCCTTTTCTGAGCTCTTTCATAGGCTATAGTAGCTCTGAGCACAGCTGCAGTGCTCCCTGAGGTGTAGCTTTGATTTCCTGCCCGTGCTTGCTGCACAGATGATAGCTTGGGGCAATCTGATCTCTGCTTGGGCAGCTAGGAATTCCTCTGGGAATCCCCGGTAATGCTACGATTTTCTGTGTGCAGGGACCGAGATGCTGTTGTGTTAATTTGCAGGAGGAAATGCCAGCATCTTCCCACTGTCTTTTTGTAAAGGGAGTGACTGTTTTACCTGTCTCCTCAGACTTTATTTAATGAAGTCCTCTAGGCTTGTGCCCTAAAGTCCTCTAGGGACTTTGCGGATATGAGTTTGCCCGTGTTGAAAAGGGTTAGATCATAAATGAATTTCACTAATGAAACATACGGACCTTTCAGGTAAGCACAGGGTTCAGCCCTCCTAGCTATAGAGGACACTGCACCAGGTTGTAGGGGGAGCTGTATGAAAGGCTAGGTTCAAAAACATGACCCGATTGTTCCTTTGCAGTCCGATTCCTCCCCGCTCCCTCAGCTAACTCAGAGGCGAATGGAAAAGACATGATTCAGACAGGCGTGATCTGTGCTCCAGGCACTGGCCAGTGACATTCGGACGTCCCAAAAGGCACAACTAGAGACATCTCAGTTTTCTTCCTCAGTCCCTGGCTTCAAGGAGGCATCCTTTCTATTTTTAACTTTTAACAGTCAATTATATTCCTTCCAGATGTTTTTTTTCCCCCAGGAAGCGTTGAAGGCCAACAGGTAAGTTGGAGAGCAAATTCAAGTATATCGTTGCGTTACTACTGTGTTTGCTATGGCTGTCCTCATACTCTGGAACTTCTCTGCCAGGATCAGCTTGGCTAACGAGGTGGAGCTTCTTTAAAGCCACTTGGAAGATGTAGTGAGAGCAGTAATTATTACAAGGAGACCACCTTTGAAGTCTTGAGTGCCTTTGTTCATCAACTTGGCAGTGTTAAAGTGTAGAGAGCTTTTTTCGTTTCATCCCCTTCTCCATTTCTGAAATGACAGGAGGATTGTCGTGAATTAGCATTTGAAAGTTAAAACTGGTGATTGTGAGAGTGATGAAATGTTATGTGATATGTGATATCAGGCTCTGTGTACTCTTACTTGATAAGAGTGTTTGTCTGTTCAGGGATGCCAGCCCTGAAGTTGTGGTGTCTGTCACTCTATGTAGGAAAGGAAGGCACAAGTCTCATGGCTTGTGGTACATCTTGCAATGTAGCTGCCAGACAAAGAGGATCGAGTGGTGAAGGCAAGCTGTTCTGCCCTTGTAATGCATGCTGTGTTCTGGCAGGCCATGACCTTCAGGATTCCTCTGGCACTTTGGATGGAGACTTTGACTTGAACTGGGAAGCAGAAAAGGAGATTGAAGCCATGGCGTGTGACGGAGAAGACTTTATTCCACCAAAAATAATGGTGAGGCTTTCCAACCCAGTTACCTTTTCTGCTCAGATCCCGTCCGTCTTTTCACAGCTGCTAGTTTTAGGATGTTTATGGGGAAGACAGGTCTCTTGGTTACCTGTGGGCAACTCTAGAGTGTGTACAAGTGTCACTCAGAGATCAGCCAAGACATGACATGGTCTTCAGCATCTGTTATCATTGGGGATAATGTATTGAAAGAAAACGAGAAGTGAAAAGACCTGTAGTCCAAGCCTCGTTGAGACCAGGATTGTTACCAACGCTGGATCAGGTCAGCAG